GAGAGAGAGAGAAAGAGAGAGAGAGAAAGAGACAGCGCGAGCAAGGGAACATGCGCAGGGACGTGAAGGGCCCATGTGCCAGGCGGTGGGGGCGTACCTGTGCCAGGCCGCTGAGGAGCCGCCCGAACTCCGGCGAGCTCGACCAAATGTTCAGGTCGCCAAAGGCTCCGGACTCATGGCGCAGGATGTGGTTGAACACCACCCGCAGGGACCCATCCACCAGGGTGAAGATCTCCGGGTCGGGGTCCGGCCGGCCGGGCCGGGGGCCGCTGGTGCCGGAACCCCCGGCCGCCGCCCGGCCGCCGCGTCCGCCCGGCGCCATCGGCCGGAAGGGTGCACCACCGGGGCCCGGGCCGCTGGCCGCCCCGGTGCCGGCTGTCCCGGCCGCGCCGGGCCCCCCGGCCGCTGGGATGAAACTGACCCCGGCATCGGCATCCACCGAGGCCCGCCACATCTGACAGGCCACCGACACCGGCAGGTCGATGAGCGCATGGAGCAGCTCCATGCGCAGGGCCCGCGCAAGGGGCAGGACATTGCCCTGCGAGTAGGGGGTGCCCAGGGAGGTCGACTGGAAGACAATGGTCACCAGATTCGAGAGGGAGCTGTTTGTGTGTGTGTGTGTGTGTGTGTGTGTGTGTGTGTGTGTGTGCGAATTCGCCCGGTGCAGGTGTCAGCGCGAGGCGAGGCGAGGCGAGGCGAGGCGAGGCGGGGGGAGAGTGTCTGGTGTGCGTGCACGCGTGTGGGGAGGTTGCTTTTTTGCTCGCGCGTGCCGCCCTGTCCCGCCCTTCCCGGATGTGCGCCCGCGCCCGGGGACACCTGGGGCAGACAAAACAACAAAAGCAAGGCAAGAAAGGAGGGGAAGAGCCGGGCCCCAAGGAAAAGACAGAGCCACCCCCCGCTCCCTCCGCGGCCGGCGAGGAGGAGGAGAAGGAGGAGAAGGAGGAGAAGGAGGAGGAGAAGGAGGAGGGCGGACGCTCGCACCTGCTCAGGGCATGCGAGTGCCAGGCGCAGACCGTGATCAGCGCCGGGAAGAAGCGGTTCACAAGCCCCAGCTGGGCCAGGCGCCGGCGGGTTTCCACGTCCGAGGCCCATCGGGGCAGGCGCGCCATGCCGGGGGCCGCCGCGGCGGCGGCCGGGGGCAGAGCCGCCGGCATGCCGGCCACGGCCGAGGACGCCGCCACGGAGGTACCGGTGGCCGCTGTCGGGGGCCGGTCGGCGGCCGCCTCGGCCCCCTCGGCCGCCGTCTGAAACAAGGGGTCCGGCCCGACGAAGAGCCCAACAAACTGGTGGGCCAGGATCGGCTGCGCGCGGTAGTGCGGCCCCCCGACCACCAGGGTGACCAAGCGCTCGAGGAGTGGCTCCAGCGAGAGCTCCGGCCAGGTGAAGGCCCCGGCCGGCGGGGCGGCGGCCGCCTGAGCCCGGAGCTCGCCGGCCGTGCGAGTGTGGTTGGCCAGGAACCGGGCCACCGGCAGCAGGGCCAGCGGGGCCGGGACCGCCATCAGTGCCTCGAAGGCCCGGAGGAGGAGCTTCGCCAGCCGGTGGCGGAGGGGGTGGTCCCCCTGTCCGGCGGCCTCGGGCGGGGTGCCAGGCGGGTCACACCGGCACAGGGCGTCCAGCACCCCGACCACCTCGGTCAGCAGGGTCTGGCACACCTCCGGGTCGCTATGGAGGGGTGTGTGTGTGTGTGTGTGTGTGTGTGTGTGTGTACGTGTGTACGTGTGTACGTGTGTGTGTACGTGTGTGTGTGTGCGTACGTGTGTACGTGTGTGTGTACGTGTGTGTGTGTGCGTACGTGTGTACGTGTGTACGTGTGTACGTGTGTACGTGTGTACGTGTGTACGTGTGTACGTACGTGTGTACGTGTGTGTGTACGTGTGTGTGTACGTGTGTGTGTGTGGTGAGAGGGCGCGTGGCGAGGGTGCGAGGCGCGCGACAGACAGCGTCCAAGGCGCGGCAAGATGCAAAACAGAGGGGGACGCGGAGGGAACACCCAAGGAGGCAGGCGGGGCCGGCAGGCAGGCGCACGCACAACTGGGACCCCTGGCTGGATGGGGCACAGATGAAGGCCACGGCCTGGTCCAAAGCACGCAGGCAGTATGGCACTAGCAGATCCCGAAGGGGAGCGGGGAGCGGCCGCGCCGGGAGCGAACTTCCGGGCAAGTGGCAAGGCAATCGCGTGAGCATGAGGCCCATGCAGGCAGGAGTCGGCCGAGCAAGTCCCCGTGTATCCCCCGCCCGCTACCCTGCCCGGGGCTTGCTCGGATGTGTGCGCACCTGTCTGGCGGCGCGACGAAGGTGTTCCACAGCCAGGACCCGAGGCCGCTGAAGGCGTAGAGGGCCTCCCGTTGGAGCTGCTGCTGCTGGGCTGCCTCGGCGCCCGGGCCGCCTGGACCGCTGGCGCCCGGGCCGCCGAAGGCCCCGAGCAGGGCCGACCCGACCGACGTGCCTTCGGCCCCGGGGGCCCCGAGGCCGATGTCGCGTGCGCCCGGCCTGACCGCCAGCGCCAGGCACGCCTCCGGCCGCAGAGCCAGGAAATCCGGCCGGACGGGCCGCGCCACCGCACGGGCGTCCGCTATTGGACCGCACAAGAGGGGGAGGGGAGGGGGGGGGCGACGTGGAGAGAAATTGAAGAGACGTGGAGAGACGTGGAGAGGGGGGGGGGGAAATGAGGAGAGACGTGGAGAAATGCATAGAGAGGTGGGGGAATACGGAGAGACAAGGAGAGACAAGGAGAGACAAGGAGAGACAAGGAGAGACAAGGAGAGACAAGGAGAGACAAGGAGAGACAAGGAGAGACAAGGGGAAACGCAGAGGAACGTGGGGAGACGGAGTGAAAAGGAAAGGGGCCAAGCGAGGAAAGAAGGGCCGGGAAAAATGTCAGCGGCTGGGACGGGCGCGCGGGGGAAGGCAGGGCCCGACGCACCAGTCAATGAGAGGCTGGCATCCGAGTGGAGCCACCGCATGAAGAGCCCGTCAATGGCCTCGGTTTGGAAGAGGGG